TGGTACTAAGCTGTGCGGATAATCTTTCTCTGCCTAAATGCCTTGGGTCCTCAGAAGGTCCAACTCTTACAGGAACTTCTATATGCAAAAGGGGAGTCATATGTGTTCCCTTTTCCTGCCTCACTTCAGACAATGTCTCTCTACATGACTGGCTGCCCTCAGCTTTTATATTTTTTCTGTGCATTTCCAAAACCGGGTTCCATTTTACTTTTCCCAGACCGCATTCTTCCAGGTTCTAGACACTGTTGTACAGTGTCTTCATTACAATAATCCCAACAATAATGGATTTAGATATATAAAGCCCTTGCCTACCCACTTTCAACTCCTTTCTCTGTTGCCCCTTGAATGTTATTTTTACCCGACAGTGCGGTTAGTGAATCCAGGCAAGACTGAAAGCAATTACCCTAGTCTTGTGACTGGATGCTGAATTCCAATTTTCTTTTCCATTTCAGAAAAAGGTTTGCCATAGAACTATTTGAAAATTCAGCCTAGATTTACCAAATTCTTTGACAAATTTTGTGCGCAGCCTCTAAAATCTCCACCTTATTAAATAAACTTTCCCAATGACTTTAGCACACACATATTCATATAGACCTTTAGGATTTTTACACTTCAGTCTTCACTAGGCAGTTAGCTCTTGGTTAGAAGCTAAAGTTTTTGATTGTCTCCCATTCCTGACTTCTTTTTTCCCCAATCCAAACTAATTGTCTCTCTCTCTCATACACACACACATGCACACACACACAAACACACACAAAAGGATTATTAACTCTTACTTATTTTTCATTCATCTTTAAACATAATTAGGATGGTGCCAAACATGTAGCAGTTGCTCAATACATCAGCTGTTGATTGTTTTCTGACAGTAACCTGAATTATGATCAATTCTTTGTTTTTTAAGATTTTTAAATTTTTTTTCCTTTTTCTCCCCAAAGCCCCGCAGTACATAGTTGTATATTCCTAGTTGTGGGTTCTTCCAGCTGTGGTATGTGGGATGCCACTTCAGCATGGCTCAATGAGTGGTGCCATGTCCGCGCCCAGGATCCGAACCAGCGAAACCCTGGGCCACGGAAGCCAAGTGCGAGAACCAACCACTCTACCATGGGGCCTGACCCCCATGATCAATTATTTTTGATTTGTGCAAACGTTTCCAAGTTTTACCCTCCTATTAATTTAAGAGAAAAATAAGAGAAAGATTTTGCATGGAAAAATTGCAATTAATCTCAAGGAATGTCCCATAAAATACTCACAAAAGCCTAATATAAAGAGAATTGTGGTTTCTGAACTTTACTTTAGGCCTCCTGCATGTTGATCTTTTCACTCCAAAGCTGATTTCATTTTGGCGCTTAGCTTGTAAGCACAGAATAATTTGCTTGCTTGGATTGTTGTTGGGTCTAATAAGCGTTGGTTGTTAATAAAACCTTTTCAGAACATGATAATGGCTTAGGAAAAGTACATTTATATAGTAAAACTTGAAAGGAAATGATTCTTGAGAGGAAAAGCTTTCAGAATTATGCACAGAATGAAATTTACTCAACTTTTAAAGATCCAATGGGAGAGAATATGTATGCAGTTATGCTTGTTTAACTGACTTGGGCTGAACTTTTCCACCCAAAATAGATATATTTTACATAAGAATGCTATATATTGGCTTATTATAAGTTGCCTGAGCTTACTGTAAGTATTGCTTACTTTACTTCATTTCAAATTCATTACTGAATTCATGGCTCCTTTGTGCTTTTTTAGAAAAAGATATTTCCCCAATGGATGCATTTTACTTCCTTCCAGCCTGCTTTTTTACCTCCTCAAAATTCTAAATTCTGACTATCAAACATGATTTAACGAGCTGAGAGTAGGTGTGTTCCTTCTCTGTGATGACCCTATGCCCTGTGCATACAGCTGTCCTGCTGAGCTGCAATCACCATTCTGGCTTTGCTTGGCTGTATCCCCATTCTAAACCATGAGTTTCTCAAAAGCAAGGCCCAGCTGTTTTTCCTCAACATGCATGAGTCTTAGCACGTAGCTGATACTTGATATATGTCCAATACACAATCAAACAAACAAATAGGGACTTTACAATGATCATGATGACCCAGGCACTCAGAATACTAGAGGCAGTACAAGAAAGTGATTGAGGGCAAAATGATCCCAGCAGACAGGTTTCCTGGCCTTAAATTCCCATGGGAAACATTTCATTCCATTTAAAGGAATATCACCTTGAAAAGTCCTGTTATTTTTCTGGCATTTGATATGCTTTTAGGCTAAACATGGTTATATCGAGCCACTGTGCTCCTTTGATTAAAGTAATTTCTATGACAATGGAACAGAAACAAATATCCCCCTGTTAATATAATGTCACACAAGGGTAACATTTTTAAGTAAACAGAAAATTCCACTATACCAACTCACCATTGATCTCGATACTGTAATAATTACATTATTATCCACTTACATTTGATCAGCACTTGCAAGTTTACCGTATTTTTTCACATAAACTATCTTATTTAAAATGGCAAGTAGCAGGAATATGTGTTTTGGGGGGAAATCTGAAGTGCAGAATTATCAAAATTAGAAAGGCAAAGAGTTCCAATTGACCTGAAATAATAAAACTTCATTTCCTCAATGCCTCCCCAAGGTGTTATGCAGGTCACAGGTCAGAAAAGAAAGCAAGCCAGGAGAGCTGACGTGCTAAAGGGATTTATCAGGAGGGTTAGTCCCCAGAGCAGTGCCGAAGAGAAGCACAGACTGGAAATAGAGAATTTATTTTCAAGGAAGACATATTATATCAGTAGCTGTCACAATGAGACTTCTGAGTTTAAGCACCCCTAAAGAATAACAAATCAATGATCGACTCCATCAGATGTAACTGATCATATTGCATCACTCAGGCTAATATACCAGAAAATTATCTGGGGGAATTAAGTAGCCTATTTTCACGGCTCCTTAAGGAAGCAATAATACTAACTACTCTCAAAGCAACAAAAAGGCTGTCAGCTGCAGGCGCTTTCATTTGAAATGTCCTTATTTGATATCCTGCTAGAATCTAAATCACTCCTAGTGTTCTTAGCCTAAATATAGCATGAATACTAGAGGGTTTTGTTATCATTTCTTAATTAGCAGAAAATGTCCTTTTGTGAATGGTGACATCAGGAATAACTTAAAAAAATCTCCTTTAAATTTGGAAGCAAATGGATACCTATAGAGAATTTAGAGAGCAACATTTCTGTTCTGGGTCCTGTCTGGCACAGCACACTATATTCCTGAGCAGTTCCTACATGACAGTTACTAGTGCTTTGATGTCAGAAAAATATATGTTTCTTTTAGATACCTTTCACACTCAGTCTCCCTTCACCAGCATCACCATATCCATCTTCCTATTGCCCGAATCTTCATCAGAAATTACATTGCTTGCTTACTCTGTGCCAAGCACTGGACTTATTTGTCCATTCCTTGATTCTCTTGGATTAGTATCAAATTATCAAATGTTTGGTTTATTGCAATCATTTCCTTATTGCAGTTCCTCAAACTTCTCTCCTCACTGCAGATAAAACGATTAACAAACAAACAAACAAACATGATTGTAAACCTTTCTTTTCTTTTCTTTTCTTCTTTTGAGGAAGATTGGCCCTGAGTCAACACCTGTTGACAAGCTCCCTCCTTTTGCTTGAGGAAGTGTGGCCCTGAGCTAACATCTGTGCCAGTCTTCCTCTATTTTGTACGTGGGATGCCTCCACAGCATGGCTTGATGAACGCTGTGTAAGGCTACACCTGGGATCCGAACCCACGAACCCCAGGTGGCCGAAGGGGAGTGCACAAACTTTGTTATACTACTGGGCTGGGCCCTACACCCCTTATTTAAAATCCTTCAGTCATGCCCTCTTCATTCATCCAATAAATATTTGCTTCCTTACTAGGCTCCATGCACTTGCAAGAAAGAGCCCAAACTTCTTGACATGGCATGAAAGATGTTTCTGGTTTCGACCTAAGGCATCAAGTACCATCTTCTGCTATTCTCACATCTACATTTCAGAAATAACAAATCCCCTACAGTTTCCTGAACACAATGTGCTGTTTCACACCCCCATGTCTTTTCACATGCAGCCTGCTCATTCTGAAATGTCTTCAGTCTCTAGTTCACGTGGCAACCTTCAACTCAGCCTTCAGAGCCTGCTGCCATATTACCCTGTGAAGCCTTGCTTGCTATCTTCAGGAAGGTAAATACATTACTTCTGTATCTTATCAATGCCTTCCTTACTGCTCACATCACAAGTTATGCATTCATTTGCCACATGTTTATTTCACCTACCAAAACATGAGACTCAAAGCCATCAACTCTGTGGTATTTATCTTCATATCCCTGGAATCCAGTACCAAACCTGCTTCAGACTATACACTCAATAAGCATTTGTAGATTGAATAAACATACTTTAGAGAAAAAGCTAACATTTCAAATATATAAGCCATGTTTTCATTTGGATTGCTCAAATTTTTAACAAAACAAAACATCCCACCATCATGTTTGATCATGCCATCTCCATAGGTTGTTATAATGCACTTCAATTTTATACAGTAGACTCCCCCAATTCAATTTTATTATACCTCTGAGAGTATCATCTGCCTAATTTTCTGTTTATTTAAATAGCAAAATCTTACTAAAAAGAGAGTAATTACGCAAACATTAGCTAAAGGATGATCTATCCAACAGGTGCTTTGCAAAAAATTATTTTCTTCTTAGTTTTAAGAGGTAAGTCAATATCAATTTCATATTTAAGATGCAAACTTGGACTCATCCACACCAATTGGAAAACTGGATGCAGTTCATTCTATAAATACCTCATAAACTGACTTTTTATATTCCCCTAATAGGAATATCTCTTTAAACACTTTCCACAGTTTCACTTTATGCAAAACCCCTTGCAACTTTCTCTCAGAATACTTCCTCAATCCAGGTCAGACGAAGTCAATTCAACTCTTTCTCAAGTGTCCATCTTCTGGACCAATTGAATTCCATGGTATTCATGTTTTATTTAGGATAAAGCCCTCCAAATTTTCCAACTCTTAAGTAGTCATTCCTTCCATCTGCTCAGTTCAAGTGAAAATGTATTTTCCTCTGACACTTTTCGCCTGGAAGGTCAAATAGGGAAATATAATGAAAAGCAGTATTCCATCATCTATACATCTACCCACCATCTGTTCATTTAACAAACATTTGAGTTGCCATTTCAAACCATTATTCCATTACAATTTCTCAATAACTTCCCATCCCTTAAGATTGATGCCATCTTATATCAGCCTTTCTCCATTGTTGTCCTGTCACTAGAAACTCCCTAGACCTTTAATGACTTTAGGACATGGATCATTTTCCTTTCTTTCTCATCCTTTTTTATATCCTTGTTTATGTGAGTTTTCACAGTAATGACTCCTCTAACATGTGGATTCCATGCTTCCTGATGTCCTGCATTATTGCTACACTTTACTTATACCAGCCTATACTTGAAACTTGCAAAATACACTCTTTTATCACAATCTCTTAACATCCCCTTTACAATGATCTCCTCTTTTCCTTTCATGCAACTTCTCTTCTATTGAAACTAAGTGTTATCCATTCAATAAATATCTACCCAAGGGCCTACAATGGGCCAGGCATCGTGCTAGGTTCAAGACATACCAGTAGAGTAAGGTAGGAGTCCTGTTCTCATAGAGCTAAAAACTAATAAAAGAGGCAGACAAGAAAATTCACTATTACCTGAAGGTCAGATAAGTGCCACAAGAAGAGTACTGAGAGGAGGTAATGAAATTCCAGAACAGAGAAACACCAATTAGATATTTTGAGAACATCCTTAAAGACCTTCCAAGTAAGAACTTCCATGAAAGCACTAACTATAAAAAGTGCCCCCTGTTTGCATAAACTTTATTGCCTATAACACACATGATCATTCATTGTAGTTATTGTTATTACAAGATTTATATCTATTCCTAAATGTTAAATTCCTCTAGCAGATTGATTTAACATTCTTTGGATCACAGACCTTTAAAAAGCTTACACATAGTTATTTGATAAATTTATACCTATCCATTTTGTAAGCACTTTTGCACAATCTCCCTCACCAAAACCCTCTAAAGGTGGAAATTTGTTATACGTATTTTATTTAAGAGGAAACTAAGAATTAGCAGCTACGTAATTGGCCTGTTTACTTAGCTAGTACCTAGTAGACCTAGATTAAACTTAGGTGTGGTAGAGACTTCTAGCTGTTCCTGAAGATTACCTTTTGTTTCTTCCTGGACACACAGCTGGGTAACATTTCCCAGCCTTCAGTGCAGTTGGCGTTGGCCAGGAAACTGAGTTCTAACCAACGGAATGGAATGAGTGAACCAATGAGTGAACATGATAAGTGACACTTCCGGGTTTCTGGCAACAATTACCTACTGCTCTTCCTCTGTGCTCCTTTCCTTTTCCATGTGACTAGGATGTCAATGTCTGACAAATATGAAAGTCAAGTGTTGAAGATGGCAAAGCCACATCACCAGCTTGAATCTCTGAATTACCATATGTTAGAGAGTTACCCTGCTAACATGAACACCGACTTAGACAATTAGGTGAGAGAGGCATAAATCTCTTTGTGTAAAGTTAATAGCAAGGCAGGCTATGTTTACTACTACAGATTAATGTACCTTAGTAAAGGCACTAGGTCAGCATTTCTCAAACATTTTAATCTCAAGAGTCCTTGACACTTATAAAGTTATTGAGGACTCTGAAGAGCTTTTGTTTGTGTAGGCTTTATCTGTTATATTTAGCGTATTAGAATTTAAACCAAGAAATTTAAAATAGATACATATATTAATTTCAAAATAACAATAATAAACTTATTGTATGTTCATATAAATAGCTTTTTGAAAAATAACTATATTTTTCAGAACGAAAAAATTAGTAAGAAGAATGACATTGTTTCACATTTTTGCAACTATCTTTAACGTCTGGTTTAGCAGAAGATAATTAGATTCTCATATCTGCTTCTATATGTATCTGTTATGATATAAGACTTCTTGGAGCTTCTAGAAAATTCTACTGCACATTCATTAGTGAATGGAAATGAAAAGGGAAAAGATCATCTTAGTGTTACTACGGAAGTAGATTTCACTTCTTGAACCACCCGAAAGTATCTCAGGGGACTCCCCACTCCTTCACCAATCACATTTTAAGAACCACTGTACGAGATTCTGACAATAGAATCTCCAATTTTATTCATTATGTACTCAAAATTCTTAGGAAAGCTGTGGATCTTCAAAAAATAAACATAAGCAAACACTTGACACATAATTTTAGTGATTTCATGAATCCCGCATGCTGTAGACTAAATGTCTATGTCCTCCCCAAATTTATGTGGTGAAATCTATTCCCCCAGCTTGATGGTACTTAGAGATGGAGCCTTTGGGAGGTGATTAGGTCATGAGAGTAGAGCCCTTTGGAATAATATTAGTGTTATTACAAAGGAGAGCTCCCAGAGGGATCCTTCACCCCTTCACCATGTGAGGACACGGTGAGAAGACAGCTATCCGTGAACCAGGAAGCAGGCTCTCATGGACAGAGATTCTGCTGGCACCTTGATCTTAGATTTCCAGGCTCCAGAACTGTGATAAATAAATTTCTGTTGATTATCAGCCACCCAGTCTATGGTATTTTGTTATAGCAGCCCAAACAGACTAAGATACCACAAGTGTCATTCAATGAAAATTAAAAACTCTCTCTAGGACAGATGTCACGTCTTTTTCACTTTGTATCTCCTACAATACTGAGAAATATATACCTGATACTTTATATGATTTCAAAAAATGTACACTAGAAACACAAAATATTAGGACTGGAAGGATCCTTAGGGAATATATTGCTCAAATTTCTCATTTTTACATTCAGATTATGCAAACCTGGGAAAGGTAAGTGACTCCTGAAGGTGACAATGAATGTGATAAATAAATGATGTAAAAATAAAATTGCAGTAGGCCAAGTTATTACATTCATTCATTCATGTGAGAGTTATTTTAAAACTTTAAATGATATAAAGCTATACCTTCAAAGAGACAATAAAAGACAAATAGACTTTTAGAATTTTAGAATTTAAGGAGATACAGAAGTCACCTACCCAAATTATCTCACTTGTAAGAAAAAGTTACAGGGTCTCAGAGGGATAAAATTACTTCTCTAAATTCACAAAATGATAAAGGTTTACCAATTCTGGACTGGGTACTATTACCACTATATCATATTGCCTTTGAAATAACTCACATTTTTGTGGCAAATTAATAATTCCCATTTTGAAGCAAATTAGTAAGAAGAGCAATTAGTGTGCTATAGCAAAAAGTAAAAGCAAAAATTTTAGAATATACTGCAATAATCTAGCTCACAAATTTTATTCACTTTTATTCAGCTTCTTCAAACCTAAAACCTAAGAGAGCTGAGGCTGGGAAAATTAGTAATTAAAATTCCATCTTCTCTTGTCAAAACGATATAACACATATATAAAGTTATTTTAAAATAAATTGTTCTGGTAAATTGGTACCTTGACCCAAGTGGGAGGTCGTGGAATCCAGTGCCTCTCCATACTTCATTGAAACTTATTCAAATCGCTGAAATAGATTTTCTGCTCTTGGGAAATGAGCAAATAAATGGCAGCATCCTTTCTAATGGTAAGTCTCGACATTCTTATCAAAGTTCTGTATTAAGTGCCCAGTTACATTAAATCAATCCATTGTTTCCCATCCACATAGACTGCCCAGAGTTCTGGAAAAGAATGGAGGCTGCAAGGAAATCAATCATCGGAATGTGCTTCTTTTACCACATTATGTTGTTGGTTAATTGTGTTTTAAAATAATCTGATATAAATTTGAACTTGAATTCAAGGTCCTTGAAAGAACTATTGCTAAGCAATGAGAAAGTAATATTTTCCTAAAACTACCACTTGAAAATCTTGAAGGAAATGGCTTATCCATAAGGATTTAATATGTTTCCTATTTGAAAAGCTGCAAGGACCCAGGCAACACTGAAAAATGAAACCTTTCTGTTGTACGTTGTACTTAGATACCTGGTGTGAGGTGCACATTTTTTTCCTGCTGAGCGGCAGACAATGAGATGTAATATTGACATTCTTTCTGAATCCTCCAGGGTCTACAAAAGAACTCCTCTGTAGAGGTAGAAAGTTCACCTAAGAACCCCAAGAAGGCATATAACCTCAGTCCATCTTTAGATTAGATCTTACTTTTTCTTCCAGCAGAAGCTGGAGAGCAAAGAGAAAATAATTGATTTCTTCATAATGGGCAAATAAGAAATAATGGAAAGCATTACAGATGAATCAAAAACAAAAGCTAAAATTATTCAACACAAAGCAATGGCAACTCCGAAACTTGACAGAATTGTGAATCCGTGCCACTGATACCTGACATCATTCTCCTACAAACACAATGGTGAGTGACTGTCTTTGTGTAGGATATATAGTGACTGACACTTGGGAGGCATTTAGTAATACTGGTTGCTATTATTGTTTTGTTGTCATTACTGGGAGTGACAGTGAAGAGGGGAGCAAACTAGTATATATTGATCAACTAGTAAATGGCAAACACTCGGCACTTTACACCAATTTTAATACTCAATAGTCCTCCAGGTTATGTCTCATTATCTTCAATTTACAGATGAAGAAACAGGTGTGAGAGAATAAATACCTAGGGTAAGGTCACTCAGCTAGTAATTACTAGAACTGTGATTCAAACAGCATAAAAAATTGCTCACATGTATTTATGAAACAATAAGCACTATGCTAAGTGACTTACATGGATTGTCTCATTAAATCTCCTCCGCAACTCTACAAAATAGACCCTGATATTTTATTCACTTTAATGATGACCTCAGAACTCCAAGCTTGTAACTACATTCCCTAGTGCCTGCTAATTTTAATGCCCATGTTCTCTCCTCGACACAACTCAGGGGCAAAACTTTACACTTTTCATTTTCTTCTCTTCCTCTCATCCAATTTCCCAAACAGTAGAACAATATAACACACCAATGCCTTTGGAGGTTCAAAAGATACAATGATAATTTAGCTGAACTGAAAGATCCATTTCAATTGCCAAAGGAAATCCTTTCTAGCAGAATAAAAGAGCTTATAGAGAGTAGAATCACATCCACCTTGATGGATACATGGGTAACAAATTCCCCAATCAGGATCAAATCAAGATCAGTAATAATTCTTCCACAACCCAAGAGATAATCAGTGTAGAGTCAATGAGATCTTAAAAGCAACTCCACATCTTCTAGATTCAGATCTGTTTTAGATGGCTTTCAATGCACTGTTCAAGTTCAAAGATTTCTTTTCCTGGCTGCAATTGGCGCCAGGTCTATTTTTAAGGCATCCTTTGGAAATATAACATAAAACTGTGCAACCATGAAAAAAAGAGTGCAGTCACATCCCATCATTTCTAATGTTTCCATATTTTTATTACAGTAGTGAAAGCTCTACCTTTACGAGGCAAACTATAGCGCGATCTTGGCAACCTTTCCTCAAGCACAAGCACGGTCTCAGACAAGTGACGTTCCTTGGACACCAGAGATTTCAATTTCTGCACTCTGGTTTTTGGAAACTCTGTTCTAGCTTGTTGAAATTGAGGCTTTGACAACCAAACAAATCTGCTGCCAGGAATGCTGTACATTTCATAAAAATGCTCCATCTAAACACACACATTTTCTGTTATAGCCCGAGATGTCTGTTTGGGGGAACATGTGAGACAGACAAAGAATTTCACTACACTTAAAAGAAGGATCCTTGAGCAAGACTCCTTTGGCACAGAAAATAAGTCACTTGTGATAACAGGGCAAAGCTAGAGCTTATAATGTATTCCAGGTATTTTCTTAAACATTAAAAAAAAATAAATAACCAAGGGGCTGGCCCAGTGGCGCAGTAGTTAAGTGTGCATGTTTGGCTTCAGCAGCCTGGGGTTTGCCGGTTTGCATCCTGGGTGCAGACATGGCACCACTTGGCAAAAAGCCATGCTGTGGTAGGTGTCCCACATATAGGGTGGAGGAGGATGGGCACAGATGTGAGCTCGGGGCCAGTCTTCCTCAGCAAAAAGAGGAGGATTGGCAGAGATGTTAGCTCAGGGCTCATATTCCTCAAAAAAAGAAAAGTACAAAAGAAAATAACCTCAATTCACTGATGTATTGGTTAATTGTGAGTGAAGAATTATCTTTTTTAAGAAAAGTGAAAATTATGACATGGAATTTGTTAGGCCACTATTATAAATTATTCTGCTGATTGATGGGGTTTTAAAAGAATGTGATAAAAACTTGGACATAAATTTAAAGTCCTTGACAGAACTCTTGCCAAGAGATGAGAAAGTAAGAAGACTTAGATGTTCAAGGTTTTCCAGGACATGAAATGACCATTTGAATACTTTCACCAAGTGCATCTGCTTCTGTTTCTCTACACGGCCAATCAAAGGAAGGCAGCAGGAACAGCTATCCATTAGACTTCATCACATTAAGTTCAAATCACATTGAACTATTCAATTGAAGAAAACTACCAGAAAACTAATTACAGAGCTGCAAAATGGCAATGATAAAAGTGAAGCCCAACAATAGGACAGGAAGCTTCTAAGAAATGGAGACTCAACAAATATAGATAATTGTCAGTGAAGAGAGACAACCTGTACCATTAAATAATTTTGAGAGAAAATAATTACTTTTCTGTCAAATGTTTTTATATTGTATCTCAAAACTCTAGAGTTCTCTTTCATTAACTAGACAAAACTTTAAATGATGAAGCATCTATCGGCAAGAATATTGATAACTTGCAAACAAAATGTCTTCTTGCTTCAAAGATAATATAACCAAATTTTAGGAAATTTTAGAATAAATTTGAGAACTAAAACTTAAAAAATTGTATAACCCATTGTACATAGATGGGAAAATGTCTGTCTCATTTCTTAGTTTATGGGTTCTTTAAGGATTAAACAGAGTACCTTATTCAAATTTGGGAATTCTGCCAGCTGCTGAGTATGCCTATTCCAATTATGTATTCTGGATCCAGGTAAAGTACCACAAGATGGGTTCTATGACGACTGGATCCACCGTGAGATGGACCTGAGTGAAAACTTCACTCATCATATGACCTCCATAAGCCCCTACTCTGACTGGTAAACTACAGTGACATTTTTGGGCTCCTGGAATTAGTGCCAGTTCAGAGCCAGTGTCCAGAAGTCCCTGAAAGACCTGATTATTTCCTTTTTCTCAGTACACAGTCACCCTGGGAAAAGGCCATAGGTCATTTGGGAAGGGATGGGAGAAAGATTAACAATATAAATTTTTGGTAGTATAGCAGAGTCCTTTCTCACGGGGACCTGGCCTTCTCTTCATTCAAGGAGTTCTGAGTCTGTAAACTGGCTCAAGTCTGGGAATTGACTGAGAGACCATAACTCTCTGTTTTTATGGTTCAAGTTGGACTTTTGCTCACTCTTCCACTTATACAGATCAAGTAAGATTTGAGTAGGCTTCCTATTTTTAACTTCTGGGAACACCATGATCAACTAGCCCGTCATAGGTCATAGGTCTC